CGCAGAGGAGAATTTGGAACCACATCTTCCGTTCAAGATACAGATTCGTCAGAAGGACGGGACAAGACCCAGAAAGAAATATAATCCTTACGGTGACGACTTTGTAGTGGATCGGATAGATCTGAAGAAGATAGTGGAAGAAGTAGTGGGTCTAGAAGAAATAACTGTGTCGCAAGACATCGACATAGTCGATGATCACGACGATGAGTGGGTCGACGACCGGTCAAAACCCGAGGTAGAATTCGACGACGAGCAACAGCAGTCATATGAACAAGACTTGACGAACCTGCGTGTCTTAGAATGGCTGAAGGAAATGACGTCGGACCCAGAGGAGACCAGTGTCACGATTCAAGAAGTAGATCGTGAAAGCATAAAATACATGAAGACCGAACGAGATGATCCTTCCTGGGCTGCCCAGGAAGGGCGATTACTCATTCCGGCTTCCAATCTCGATTTGATACCCGGTATGCGATCGACGGGGACGTCGATGTATATTTTTGTCCGGGGAGTGGGGGTAGGACTTAACCACACTGAAAACTTGATAATAAAAAAATTAAGAATAGCAAGAGATACAGGAGACTTAGAAGCAGAAACAGGCGAAGAACCTAAGAAACCTGACATAGGGAGGGTAGTTGAGTGATATTTTAACTTACCAAATGAATATTCAAGTAACATAATAAAAACAGACAGTGATTTCATACTCACAAATAGAACATGTGCGATAGCAATCACAGCAGACATGAGTTTTAGGACAGCGTTAGCGGCAGATTTTAAGAGAGAATATAAAAACATAGAGTTCCTATGGAAGCAAAGACCAGGGGTAGGGGGCGTAGCGGCCTTACCTCCGGCGGCGTCACAGATACCGGGAAAATACCTATGTTTCTTGGTAACGAGGGCGACGGAGAAGCAGCACGTGGACCCAGAGAACCTAGTCTTGTCCTGGACGAGGTTGAGGGACTTACTCGTGGAGATGGACGTGAAGGAGCTCTCGCTTCCAGTGTACGATCCAAACAGAGGACGACTGCATCCTCGGGAATTGTACGCGCTTGTACACGTGATATTCTCTGATACTAATAAACAAGTATACTTACATAAGAAATATTACTTAAGTTTAGGCTGAGTGACGTGCGAGAGGGTGTTAGGCTAAAGACTAAGTTGTGTGTAGTGTGTGATATGTGTGATATGTATGTTATGTTATGTGTTATGTTATTAAGCTCTTGGGTAAGAAGGGGTTAGTGACAATGAACAACTGAATGACGATCTTAGGAATAGATCCAAAGTTTGGACTGTCCAATCTTAGGTCGAATTCCAAAATTTTAGAAACCAATTGATTTTAAAAATTTTAGGATAAAAATCTTTTTATCTGACTCTTTCAAAGTAAATTTTAACGAGAAGTTAAGGTAAAACTGACAAGTGTGATATTCGTGACCTTTTTTTCTAGATCCTGATTGATCATTTAATAAACCACTTGAGTCAAAACCTTGAAATCAAATCAAATCGAATCTGAAGAACAGTATGGAGAACTTCAACTTGGATGAATTGATGGACCTGGCAGAGGCATATGTAGGACCGATGATAGATGCGATCTATCGTCGGCTAATGGATCGAGACTTCGCTCTGGAGGACCCAGAGGTAGTCATGTTGCTGACCGCCCTGATAAACATCTTGGGGCATGGCAACCGTTGGGACCGCCCCACGGAAGTCCTATTGATGGCAGCATATGGAGAGAGGGGAGTACTAGACTGCCCGAACATGAGAGTGATGAGGTGGAGAAACGGGGCTCTCTCAGGAAGTGACTTGGCGAATGAGCCTGGATTGGGAAGTTCTAGGACTTACCAACCAGGTGAAATTCCTATGCCCTCCAAGCCCAAACCTGGGCTGACGAGAATGCATCAGGAGATGAACAGCGAGGCTGCCTCGTCTAGTTCACCACTGAGAGCAGCTGTGCCACCAAAGAGGGCGAAACTAGAACAGAAGGTTCAGACGAACCAAACCATCCAAGATCTGGATGGGATAAAGGACGAACTGGAAAGAACGAAAAGGGAGCTGGACGAGATGACTAAGACCATGCTCAGTACGGAGGAAGATAGGGACATGTGGAAAAGGTTGTTCGAAGACTGCAACAAAAAGCAGGGTGAAGAAATTGAGCGCTTGAGGCAGGACTAAAAGGAGCGATCGGAACGGATGGCGTTGACAACGGGCGTGGAGAAGGTGATACCTGCAAGGAGTATTCCTCGTGGGCAGTCCCCGATGGAGCTCTTGACGCCTCGAGAAATGAGTCAGACAACGGAGACACCGCTCCCGACAGCAACAGATCGAGTGACAATCCCGGACCCTAGTGACACCTTGGGTGACCCCGTCGTGGAACAAACGGTGAGGAAGCTGATAGAGACAGCTGGACGACTGGTCGCCAACAAGAATGCGCCAGGTTCCGGTGTGACTGCACCCTATGGAACGATCGACGACACGGGCAGAGTACGACTCTCCCAGACTGTGATCAGACAGGGAATAAGCGACGCGACGCGACGCGACGCGACGCGACGCGACGCCACGCCACTAATGGGGAGCTCTAAGGCCCCAGAGAGAAGAATACAGAAGATGCCGGCGAAGAAAGTGTCACGTAATAGACGTACAAAAGAATAATCAATTGAGATATAACTTCACGGGAGTTCCGGAGACAGATCCGAGAGCTTGCTTCAATCGAGCGACTTGGAACCCGGCAGTAAACCTGCAGCAACCGCCACTGGGGACATCACATCTGATACTGGGAGACAGCTTAGTCATAGTACTATCGATTTTGAGGACCTCTTGGTTCACCACCGTGATGGCCTTCGGAGGCGCGACGATAGCCCAGTTATATCGGATGGTGGAACTAATGAATCCAGGGAGGATCCCCAATGTGATGATCCTGGTTGGAACGAATGACATCTCTAGAGGTTCGGATGAGCAGGAAGCACTATGGGAATCAATGATGGTGGGCTTGTTTACTACTCTCTGGCAGAAATTCAACTGCCGGAAGAATGATCCTCATGGACATCGAACATAGGTTGAGAGCATTTGAAACCAATGAAAGGAGAATAGGGAATTTCGTGGGAACGATGGATCCATACTTTGTGGGGAGGAATGCCGCCGTGTTATAATACACACATTTTGCCTATACGGATCAAGCGACAAGAAGGCGAATAAGCAGCGCCGCAACTCCCAAGCCTGGAAGATTTGACGAGGAATGGGCGGGATTAGGCTTAGCGCCTATGAAGATGAGAGGCAGGACCGAACTGTCTGAGGCCTCCTTGATCCTGACTAGTGTGAAACCGGAATTGAAAGTAGGAGGAACACTGCAGGCGAGAACCTTCCTAGCACCCTTCGGCTGCGAGGAAATCAAAGTGGTCCATGGAGAAGAAGAAGATGGATCAGCTGGCACACTGATCATACCGAAATTTCCGGAAGGGGCCGACAATGAAAAGCAAGGGCCCTCAAGCTCGAAGAAGGATATGTCAGAAGGAGATGACGGACAGGGAGGAAACCGTCAAGCGGAAGAAACCATGCAACAAGATGCAAGTCAAGCTGGTGGGGTAGACGACAGGGCATCGACAGGAGGAGTATCCAGCCTGGATTTCAACATCTTCAGTTATCTTAAGAACAACGCGGATACGTTGGAGGCGACTGAGCCAGCGGATGAACGCATTTCGACACTGGAACCTCCGTCAACCTTTACAGAAATGAAACGGAATTTGCCGGAGAGCAACTCTCCTGGCAATTCGAGAAATAACGAACAAACAATCCTCATGGAATCACCTAGGAGAAGAAGAATAGAGGGCTCAGCCAGAGTACCTTTCTTGGGAACGTTGCCCGAAGAAGAGTGGGAAGTACATCATCGAGACCATGAAAGTAGGACGGGATGCAGATTGGACAGAGTGGCATTCATGGAAGAAGTCTGGACAGTGGTTCAGAGCTATGGGACCCAGTCCATTTTGAAAACAGGTCTCAACCAACCATTGGTGCGGGAAGTCCTTGACAAACTTGATGAGTGTGAAGGGAGATTGAGTGAGTTGTTGATTGACTCAGCCACTGATGAAAGTGAGGCGAACTCTCCCATCAAGATGACACCGCAGGATGATAAAGGAGAGGTGGTGTATCTGTTAAGAACCCGGAGGTGAACGATGCGATCGAAATTGGTGATTGATAAGATCAATGAGATGAAGATGAAGTTAGGCAGCAAGGTGATGCCGAAGAGAGTAGGAAAGACGAAGGTGGATTCAGAAATATCAATGAAAGCTGTCAATTCAGCGAAACGAAAACGAGTCCAAGCGGCCATGGATTTGGGACAAGATGATTATCAATTACCTGGCACGGACAGAATATTAACCGATGTAGCGATGGTGCCACCCATTCTCATGGCAGGGATAAAGTCAACAGGTTACAAATCCAAAAGGAGTGACCGCACTCTGACTGGAGCAACCTTAGAAATGGAAATACTTAGCCAATGTGGAGAAAGCACGATGAAAGACTTTAAACCATATCCCATGAACCACGGAAAGGGAAGTGTTGCTGGGCAACTAGTACCAGTGGAGTATAACCGACTGACAGTGTCGGAGACTGTGTCAATAGATGAACCCGCCGGTGGATCTATGGAGATGTTAGAATACCGAAACTCGGCTAGAGGGTATGTAATGGCTCTGGAAGACGAAATGGCCATGGAAGGTTATCTGGAGACGATGTTGCGAGGCACCACCCTCAAGCAGAAGGCGTATGGAACTTTAGCGTCATCCGAGATGCAGGCGGAAACGATCGAGCAGTTATTGAGCCTTCCGTGGAAAGCAGTGGTGTTGAAGTACTTCGAAGAGGAAATGAGGACTGCGCCGAGAATACACGCTCTCATGGCAGTACCCTACGTAAGAACCGAATTACAACTGAGGTTCGCCTGGTGCATGATGGGATTAACTCGCAGGGAATATGACTCATAGGAAAGGAAAAGGTCAAAGGAAGAAAAAGTTCTCCTTATGACGAACCTGAGGGATCTGATAACCCAAGAGGGAGCAGCAGTAGCGTGCGCGAAGCGGAGAGACGCTCTCTGTTTCATCCGATTCCTGATAGAGCAGATTTCAGTACCAGCATTGAACACCTGTGCCAAGATGTTGAGGGAGGGCGATGAACGAGCAAAAGCCTTACTCTTGCTAGCACTGCTCTCCAGCAGTGCTAGCAAGAGTAAGGCTTTTGCTCGTTCACCGCCCTCCATCAACATCTTGGCACAGGTGTTCAATGCTGGTACTGAAATGCATCAAAGCAAGCCGATGAGGGTGAATATGAAAGAACCTGAGGAGTTAGAGCCCATGAGAAAGATCGACGAAATCAGGAGATTTTCAAACAAGGAGCTGAGACTCACTAAAGAATCTATGGGGGCACTACCGAAATCCAGTGAGTACTGTGGACCGATCAAGAAGAAGTCGTACAGCTACGTGTCCGGAATCATAGGGATAGCGTACAATCTTTTCCTGAGTGAAGACATACGCGATTGCTTCTTCGATTACGAGCAGGCAGTGTTGCTAAGATTCTGGACGTCGAGAATTGTAACAATTAAGAGCGCTAATAATCCACAGACCAAATTGGGACTGGTCTTGGAAGAAGAGGTGACTGCACCTTCCGTACCAAAATCCGACAAAAGTGTGGAATTTGGGTTGGTATTCTCAGATGAACTACTGAGAACGAGCTTGATGGTAGTTTGGGAACTGATGAGACCATCATGGTGTCCTAGTCCCAATGCTGACTCGATATTACGGGCAAAACAAGACGTGCAGAGGGAGCTGAATGCAGATTGTAACCTGCGTGACCTGAACATCATATATAATGTGATGATAACAGCCTCTAGGAGCAACGGGGAAGACAAAGTGGAGTTGCCTGGCTGGGGACCAGAAGACTGAGTCAAACCTGGTAGCTGTCTGGCGGAAGTCTGTGGACTGAAAGGTCTCGTTTGTGGAGGTCTGGATTGTGTAAAAACCCTAGAGAGACAACACAAGCAATTGACGATATTGTTTGGGAATGTCGTGATGAAAGCAAGAACGGAAACGAATTTGATCGCAGATTGCCACGGAGGAACCGAGGTGAATCTAGTGACTGCACTAGGATTTTACAGCATGTTTGGTTCTTTAGAGTCACTATTGAATCTAGAACAAAAACATGAGATGGTCACAGCCATCAGTGCAGAAGTGTTCCCAGGAGTTCTGCAAACTGAGCAAAAGTACATAGGAAAATGGAGGGAAGCGATCGAGACGGAAATGAACATCAGACACAGTGAGTCTTATTGTAGACCATCAGGAGCACGATATTTGGTGGGATCGACATTGGCTCCAATGTGCAAGAGCAGCTACTCTGTGCATTTCGTAGCTGTGGATGTAAAGAGTACGAGAACGATCGTGGATCAAGCCTTCTCAGTGCCAAAGTGTGTGAGACTAACGAGAATGTCCGAAAGATCTTACGAGTTGCTATGTAAAATGTTCTCAGCAGTTCCAGAGAGAACAAAGGAGGAGTTGGAATCGATACTGGGAAGGAAGTTCATGGGATACGTGAGTGGGAACTTCAGTGACTTTGAAAGACAGAAACAGAGAGGATCAACCGTTACGGATTACAATACAGTAGACGAGAATGATGAAAACGTAATTGGAGGAGCATCATGTTGACACATGACGAGTTTCCCTGCCACTGCTTGCTGCAGACCTGGTGGTATCCCGAGCGTAGTAATCTGGTGTTGATCTGGGACTCTGGAAGGCTGCTCTCCATGGGTTTACCAGACTCATCACGGCCCATAACGATAAAGATAGTGGGAGTTATGATGGTGATACGATGGCTGGAGGCTCATGTGAGAGAAAACAATAGACAGGAGGCACCGACGAGAGAAAAGTTGCAGAAATTGGATTGTCTCAAAGATTTAGATCTTTTTGAGACAATGTGCAATATTCTAAACATTCCGATGGAAGTGAAAAAGATATGGGCGAGAAGACGATTGATGCCATAGTTCAGAGCTAACATGACTGCATGGTTGTACGAATATATCAAAAAGCATATGTCGAAGCACGGCAGAGTGTACAGTGGATATCAGCTGGAATTGGAGCAGGAGCTTTCAAGCGCGCTTTCGTGACTCATCGGAATGCAGTGACCACCGCTGTAAAGAGAATTTCCAGGACAAGTGAACGTAGTGGAAAGGAGAAGGAAGAGATGTTGAAGGAAGATTTGGAGAGAAACGTGACGTTGTGTCTCCACAACAGCTTCTGCCGAAACAGAGAATCTAACGTGGATCCCCTACCTTGTTGCAAACAGAGGGTAGAAGAGCAGAAGTGTTGGAGGACTGCTTCCAACAGCGTCAGAATGGCTAACGATGTGTTGCAAGACACAGAAACTGCAAGTGCGCAGTCAGTGTCACAGGAGGAAGAGATGGAACATTGACAAACGGTCGAAAGAACAATAAGCAAAAAGAAAGAAAATTAGAAGAATTTAGAAGTTTTAGAACTTCTAAACGACGAAAAATGAAAAAAACAGAGGAGTGACGACAAAAAAGAAATTAAAACTCAGAATTGTTTTATGAGTGTAAAAAAAACTCAAGTGAGAAACTAAGCAACCAAGTTGTAATTGAAAACTGAAACATTTAGTTGAGCTTTGAACATTAAAGAATTTGTTGCTTTTATAAATTTGCATTTTGATTTTAGTTAGTGGCTTTAGAGACACTTACTATTTATTTAGAAAGGCTTGAGTAAAGAGTATATTTAAATATTCCAGCCTGCATGACTGTTTTTAATCAATTAGGAGAACTGATCACTTTGTGGTGATATGAAATGCTTGGGTAATCTCTCGAAAAAGGAGATTGTTTCATTGTTCTTTCTAACCACAGTCAGTTTTTTAGTTTTATTATTCAGGACAATAACAAGCAAGATTTCCGAAGGGAGGAAGCATAGTAGGATAATTTCAGCTTGTTGGTTGGCAGGACTGTCCTGCAAACCAACATCTTTTGAAAATCTAGGAGAAAAAGTTTTAATCAGGGCATTGACATTGGAAGTCAGAAAAGATGTTTTTATCTTAGGTCATATCCTCAATGTGCAGATTAATGAAAAAATTTGAAGGCTATAGTGATGTAGTATGATGCCGTTTATATTCTGCAGTGAGTCGATATGACGCGGATAAAAGTAATTTCGTGCATTTTGTAAATTCTGTTCGATGACACTGTACCAATTTTACGAACACTGCGAGATTCAATGAGGACATTGACCGGACTGTCCGGGGAGTATGTGACATTCGACCAGAATGGACAAAAATGCAGATTCAACAGAGTCGAAATTTTAGCAGCTAACCTTCCGAATTGACGGTTTTAAGAGATTAACAACGTTATGGGGACGATTAGTCAAACGGTGAAGGTCAAGATATTCTGGTATTTTGAAATTTTAAAAATTCGATGTGATGACTTAATAATTCTGAGAAGCGTCAAAAGCGGCCATTTTGGAAGAAAGCCAGAATAAAAACACAACAACATCAGTTGCGTAGGCGATAACGACGAGAATTGTGATTGGAAAACAACAACAAATTGCAGAAGTAGCAGAGACCGTTCCGATTTGCAACTATTGTGTCGCTACAATAGTTGCAAGGCCGTTGCGAACAACGGTGAAGGGTGGAAGACAGCCTTCCGGAAGGAAGATAAGGGTCTTATTTCCCCGGATTCAAGAATCCGGAGGGGTCTCGGGATTGGAACTTATATCATTTTATACAAACTTTTAGCTTCCCTATTATGTCCTGAATTGAATTTAATTAACATCTGAATTCATTTTGCTAGGATGAGAAGCTAGGAGTTGGGGGAAGGGGTTGATCCATCTTCGATGGAGATGATGATTTTTATCTACTGAACAAAAACAATAATAAATCAATAAATAGTAGTAGCCCTGTTTTTAGGAGTGACCCCGTGGTCTGGAGATACTGAGACCCAGCCATGAGCTCACTATTTCTGCATGTAATTTAGTTAATTTGAGTGTTTTGACCGAAGCCGAAAGCAGTAACGTTTTTGTCGACCCGATGTTAGAAAGACCACCAAAAGAACTGGCTTGGTAGAGAAGTAGAGACGGTGAAAAGCATGTAGAGCTCTGTTTAGACGTTGGTCAGTCGTCTTAGAACCTAGCTTTATTTTCCGTCGATATGTATCGTCCGGGCGAATGTTACACCAAAGCAAAAGTCGCCGTTACAAGTCTAAATTTTTAGAAAATACAACTTCTGTATATTTCTAAAAAAAAACTGCTGCTTCTGAAAAAAATTCCTCCAAAATTTTAGCTGAATTCTTTTGTCCGACAGTCCCTTTTCTTTTCCTACTTTTTTAATCAGTAAGAGGTATATTTTTTGCGAGACCCTAATTAGGAAGGAAATCTTGTTGAAAATGTAAGAAAACATTTGGGACTTAGAACTAACTCAAACTGAAAATTTCGACTTTCAGTTTAGTGTTTTTTGACTGACTACTAGCAAACAAATTTGCGGCTTTTTATAAACCAAAGCTTAGTCGAGCCTGTCATGCTGCTCAACTACTTTAAAAAGCATATAAGAAGCATATAAGAAATACATGATCAGGTTAAGTTTCAATGATCACCATCCGAAATATTATGATAACCGTACTTAAGCTTTGAAACGTTTTTTTTATGCCAAATTTACGTACAACGCACTTTCAAAGAATGGAAAAAAATGGTTACAACAAAACAACAAAAAAGACTTCTTGCCCGCTGCGAGCAGGGTTCGAACCTACGCGGGAAAATCCCATTGGATTTCAAGTCCAACGCCTTAACCACTCGGCCATCGCAGCTGAAAGCTCTAAGTGACCGAAGAAAAACTAAGCCAGGGTTTCAACCAAAGCAAAAGTCGCCGTTACAAGTCTAAGTTTTTAGAAAACACAACTTCTGTATATTTTTAAAAGAAAACTGCTGCTTCTGAAAATAAATTCCTTCAAAATTTTAGCTGAATTCTTTTGTCCGACAGTCCGCTTTCTTTTCCTACTTTTTTATTCAGTAAGCTGTTTTTTTGCGAGACCCTAATTAGGAAGGAAATCTTGTTGAAAAATGTAAGAAAACATTTGGGACTTAGAACTAACTCAAACTGAAAACTTCGACTTTCAGTTAAGTGTTTTTTGACTGACTACTAGCAAACAAATTTGCGGCTTTTTATAAACCAACGCTTAGTCGAGCCAGTCATGCTGCTCAACTACTTTAAAAACTGTTTGGCAAATGTCAGAAGCATATAAGAAATACATTAAGAAAACACTTGATCAGGTTAAGTTTCAATGATCACCATCCGAAATATTATGAT